TCACACGACGAAGACGAAGAAAGTAAATTTTTTGGGATCACGGTGAGTTTGTTTGGCCCCAATCCCCCCCAGAGTCCAAGGCCTCCCTTTGTTATCCAAGTGGCTTTTTTCAGTTTTTTAAAACCTGCCCATCATCCCAAGTGTGTTGGTTCCTTTGCATAAGGCATAACCCAGTAGTTGGCGATGGATGATTTCCCCCCTTATATGTCATCTTCTGACGCAGACGACCTAGGGCCCATTTCTACTGTGCTAGTGTTGGAGAACTGAGTTGAGTGCACAATTTAGAGTTGAGGAGTTTGAAGGATTCAATTTAAGAGGGTATAGCAAATGAGTCTCTTGCTTTTTCTCAAACCTCCTCATTCTTTATGCATTGAGCATTGTGGCCATGAAAGGGCCAGTTAAAGAGACAATTCCTGAGGATGGGATGGGAAAGCTCATAGCAGGGTGTGAGGCAGTGTACCTGGGCCGGAGGGTTTGGTAGGCAGTATAGATGGTCTAGGTGACTCTTTATTTAAAATATATATATATATATATATGTTCTAGGTGACTATTCAAATTGGGTGAAACAGAATTGACTATTCACAAAGTAATCGGGGTTGATTTTGATTAGTTTGAAGATAAAGTCTAGCATTGTTTAGAACACTGTGATTGGGAAGAAGACGACAATCCCTGTTCGTTGCCCATTGGAGGATAAGATTAGTTGGGAGGGAGCTTAGAAGATAGTGTTCTCTCAACTATGACAAGGAAGCTAGGGAAGATCAGGTTGCATGTGGGGAAGTTCACCACTTTCTATTTCCCATTATTAGCTGCATCTTATTCTGGAAAATGCCGAAAATAATAAAGCAGTAACAAGTTCACCGAGGTTTCTTGGTCCTTGTTTAAGATATTACTTTTGTTTTCCAAAAAAAAAATGTTTCATGCCAGAAGGAACATTTAACTACTAATGGTAAATATTTTAACAGAAGTTCCGCAATTTCTTATCTTTCCCTTTTCAATATGAATAATAATCATCACTTACTCCATGGGAACAATTGATTTCAATTAGTTAATAATGTCATGGTGTGTCCAACATAGGCTTCCAAAATGTTAATGTATCCAATCCCCAATTATCTTACAGTTCATACACAATGATGCATTCAATCACAATGTTATTAAGTAATGAGTTTTATGCACATCAGTTACCATGATGCTTCAATATAATATGAATGCATAGAGAGTCTATTATGTGAGCACGGATGCTTGAACTATTCAAGCAACCAACCAAGTCAAGAACGGAAGCGACCCCTAACGAAGTTAAAAGCCCATGGGAAATCTCGCCCCACTCATGAGAAACTTTTTCCCACTCAAGAGATATTTTTCTTTCAAGAAGGAAAGTTTCTTTTTCCTCTCCATATCTATCTATCTCAAATGGGAAAAAAGAAACCAATGTCAGAATTTTGAAAATTCATCAAGAGAGAATCAAAATTATATCTTTCAAAGTTTTCAAACCAAGATCATATCTTCCTAAAAGAGATACATTCACATATGGAGAAAATCAAGAGAGATCGAGAAAGGATTTTAAACATTTATCACAAGATGTGAATAGATTTATTTTCTTAAGGAATCCAAAGATTTTCGTTAAATTAAGAGATCTTCAAGAAATCTTCATTAATTAAGAGATTTTCAAGAGATTTTTAAATTATAAGATTTTCATAGATCAATCAAGAGAAAACTAAATCTCCGACTTTTAGAAGAAGATATCTCCACAATTAGTTAAGATATTTTCCGTTTAAAAAAGTTTCTTTATAGGGAGATCATATTTATCCTATTTTAGAGAACAATCATTTTAATTGTTGCAAGTTTTCTATTCTATTTTATATTTATTTTTTTATATAATTTTGCGATTAATTTAGGAGATTATTTTCTTTATTATTCACATGACATACACTATAAATAAGTCATCAATTCATTATTGTATTAAAAATCAATTTGAGAATAATAAAATTATGAAGTTTTAGTTTTCAACTAGTTAAGTTTTCGTCAACCTTCTTGTTGAGTGAGAATTGATTTAACTTATCAAGATAAGTTCTTGTGGCATTTTATCAATTTTCTTTTGAATTGATTTCTAACTTATTAAGTTCATATTTCTAGTACTTTTAATCAATTCAAACTATTCTAATTATCGTAGTTCATAATTTCAGGTGAATTATTGGTTAAGTAAGAAGGATTTATTGAGAGTCTTATGATTCTGAATACTGATATTATATGCGGAGTTTTTTATCACGTTAATTGATCCTGAATTCCGCATCAATATATGTGAAGGTTTTGAATTGCATTGTTGATCCCGGGTTTCGCATCAGTCTGACTTCATCTGGCTTAATCCATCAAAAAATAGGGCAAGGGAAAGTCATGTTCCAGTTGTTTTCACTGATTGCTGTCAATGCAAATATTTGGTGCAGATACAAAATTTAAATGCACATGATAATATTAGTTTTTAACTCTTTTTTTTTTATAACATTTTTATATTCTTTTGCCTTATTTTTTATTTGTTAAGTCTCAGATTTTGATGCCTACATTTTGTAAAGGGCATGCATGTGCAGGTGTCATTTTAAGAAACTAATAATATGATGTAGAATGATTTACTGGTAGGCGAAGCTTAAACCATATCAACTATAATTATGGTCTGTCTACAGCAATATGTATCACTCTTCAGTGAACCTTGAATAATTTTGTCCTGATGTTGTCTCTTTTATGTCACATGATATTAGTTTTATTTTATTTTATATTTTACTTTTCTTTAAAGGAAGTGCAACAAAAGTTCACTCTGTTTTTTTTATGTCCAGGTTCCCATGTTTACAGCATCTGGTTTACGAGTCCGTTTCCTCAAGGTACGCTTTGGATCTTTTATGTTTTCTGAATTTGGTTGTGGCAATGCACATGGAGTTGACAGAGTGATCTATGCAGGTGTGGGAGAAGAGTGGTTACAACACAGTAGAGTGGGTTCGTTATATTACGAAAGCTGGTTCATACGAGATTAGGTGCTAGAAACATGGCGTCTTTTGTGGGAGTTTTTAAGTGGATTTTGCTTGGGGATGGAGTCATTGATCAGGTCTATAAGGTGAACAAGCCTCCAATACCCCTTAAACAACGCAGCAACTTATTTTGATGTCTCTGTGGTTACTAAAGAAAATTTTTATTCTTAATAGGGATTTGTCAATGTGATAATTTGAAATGAATATTGATTGTGGGCTTCTTCTTTTTTTCTTCATTCTTTTCCTTTTTGTAAAGTTTAGTTCCGAAAAACTTTACTTTCCATGATTGTTTCTTGCATATTTCTGTAGCTATATATATCGTGTTGTAACCTGAACATTTGTAGTGAAAATGAGTTATGAGTGTGTTGTGATAGGGATTTATGACAATAATTGAAGCATTGGAACTGGTGCACTTCTTTATGTCTTTTTTTTTATGAGTTATTTATATTTTTTTAATAATTTAATTATTGTGATTTAATTAAAGGAAAAAATAAAAATAAATAAATAAAACTAATAAATGCATTATTTAATAAGAAAATGAAAAGTATAAATTTTTTACAATAATTTAACTTTCATAAAAGGAAAATATATTTGGAAAAATAATGTTTATAAGAGGAACACTTTACAAGAGGATAATTATTTATATATTATTTTATTAAATTTAAAATTTTAAAATTTTAAAATATTTTATAATATAATATAAATATAATAAATTAACAATATAAATTTAAATACACACCATTTTTTCCATACATATTAATTGTATTATAATAAAAGTAAGTTCCTTTCCTTTATAACTTATTTTCTTCTAATCCTTTAGCATCTAAGTATCAATTTGACAGCTTCTTGAACCCAGAATTTGCAGCAATCTCCCTGAACCGAAGTTCTCTTGCTGTTGCACCTGCTATCAAGGCTGTGCAGGTAAAATTCCAGTTTTCTGTTTATTTCCTCACCTAAACGTTATGCTATCTGCAGTCTTCTCTAGTTAGTGATTAGGATAAGTTGTTAGGATGTTAGTAATTTGTTAGGAATCAATTAAATAAAGCTAAACGCTTTTAAAAACTAGATATTAATTTTAGTTTTTGTAACAGTGTCACCGTGTTGCATGATCTTTCCTTCAAGCTTTCAACCCACCATCTCCTAATGTTTTCCCAGCTCAAATATGTAACTTCTTTCCAAGTAAAATGGATAATAGTCTAGTATATGCAGATATGATTTTGAGATAATATTCATTCGGTAAAATCTCTTCAAAATCTAAAAGAAAGTAGTGTTTTAAAATGAAAAGGGTGAGTGAGTTATTATTGCATTCTTTAATGATTTTATATGCTATTTTTCGTTGATTTTAATAATGAATGTTCTATTTAATTTAAACAACGGAATGAATAATGCTGCAGGAAAAAAAATAGAAAAAAGGGGCTATGTCGAAGGCTCAATTGCTTCTGTCAAACATATCAGGCACCAAAGTGCCACTGTGTGGTACCACACGGTTTTGTCGTGCTGGTTCGCGGAGGAGGCGTTTTTCGGGCATCCACAATTTGCTTGGTACGTCTCTAGCATAATGCAGTCGTGCAGTTGCCGAGCCAGAGAGTGCAGAGAGAGTTATCGGGCATCTGCAGATGCCAAAGAAAATGGGACATACGCAGGTGTGCCACCGCACAACAGTCATTCTCCCTTGGGTCGGTTGCCTGTGCAACAGGCCGGCGGGCCGTGCTGGCCGGACAGGCATAAAAATATGTCAAGGGACCTTCGCAGAAGCCCACTGAGTGACGGGCCCAGCAAAAGGAATTTCTCTTGAGCTGGATGTATTAGATAGACGCGGGGGGGGGGGGGGGCCTCTTGGGAAAGAAACTAGAAAACTAATAAAATTTGGAACTTTGAAAGATATACATTGTTATGAAATTTGGAAAATAATAATGTGATTATAAAGATTATAAGTAAAGAAAATTAATCTAGAAAATATAAACTAAAAGACAATAAGAACAAAAGCAAAATGATTTAGAACACTAAAATTAACTGATAAGATAATAAACATAAAAAATAATAATAAAATATTAAAATTAACAATAATAAAATTTTAGTAAAATAAATAATATACTTGAAATTCTAAGGGAAATATTAATAAAAATACAAAGTTTAGTAATTAAATAAGGCAAATTAAAAATAAAATTTAAGAAAAAAATATTAAAAGAGTCTAAAATTTAAATAACAAAGTGTCTACTTAAACCCAATTTACTAATTTCCTTGGATGGATATTGAGGTAATAAGAGAGCAACTAGAGCTTAGTTGTAATGTTGGATTCTAATTTTGGGAGCTTGTTGAGTGGTCTGAGGACTCTGAATTAATTATTATTCATGGTCCTAAAACTCAAGAATATGAATGATGGTGACTAAAGTAAAAATTGGGATGGTAACCGAAGAATATTTATGTATTCTTTTATGATATTGTATTGTAATTTGTTGATTGCGCTTCCATCCTTAACTAGTTGGTGATTTGGTGCCCTCTTTGAAAATAACATAAGCAGTTACACATATAGGTTTGTAATCAATGAAATATAAATTATATTTAATAACTAATCATAAATTTATTGAATACAATATTAAGCATCACTGATAATTGAATGAGTTATGTAAACACATTGAATACGGTATTGGGCACTAAGTAACGGTTGCATTGTTATTGTAAAAATTGTATACTATGGAATTATGATTTTATTGATATATCATTGTTTTTATTTAAATTTTGCATTAAGGAAATATTTTCAAAATATATTTGTGTTACTTTTGTAATAAAATTTGATACAAATGTCATTTTATTGAATTCAACACATCTTAATAAAAAAAAAGTAACATAAAATTAAAACTACATATCATTAAAAGATGATGCAGTTATAACGTGATTGAGAGATCACTTGATAAAATATTTAATTCTTTAACTCACTTTTTCTTTGTATCTAACGTGATTGAGAGATCACTTAATAAAATTTTTAATTCTTTGAAAATTAAACCTACATACCATTAAAAGATGACACAATCATAACGTGATTGAGTGATCACTTGATAAAATCTTTAATTCTTTGACTCACTTTTTCTTTGTATCTAACTATTATGCACAAAAATTTTGAAATTTTAATTCATAGAGAACTCATATGAAATGAGAATTATGCTCATTTAATAGATGAGAGAAGAGGCCAAAACACATTCATGATAATTGAATATGTTGATAGTCGTTTCTATTATTATACTTTAATTCTTATAAAATATAATAGTTGTATAGTTTATTTTAAGATTATCCACTCTATCAAAGTATATTTTCCTTTATAATAATAATCTATTATTTTAAGTGTTCTTTCGATTAGTTCCAACCGTTATCAGTGGATGAGAAAAATAGAACATCAAATTAGTGGGTCATCCACTTAATTACTGGAATTAACATTCTTCTACTTGACCTACTATACCAATTATAAATACTATAATAATATATATTTTTATATTAAAAATATATTTATTGATAAATGAATTTGATACGTGATTCCGATAAAATCAGCCAATAAGCCCAAATTTATTATATGTTAATATTGAAATAACTTACATTATAAATGTGAATTATAGTGGTCACATGACTTCAACGTCACATTTCCTTATATACACCATACATCAATAACATTTATTAATTCAGTCCATAAAGCTAAAATAACTCCTATAATTTGTCCTGTCAAAATATTTCTGGTTGATTAAATACTAGATTGTGCATCCATGATTTAAAGATAGGAAAAAATACAAACAAATTTTAATATGCAAAAATATAAATTATTCAACAATTGAAATATCCATCATCATATTATGGATTACTCAAAAGACTCAACCTTACAACATATTCTACATATGTCTTTGGAGGTAGTCCTTTAGTCAATCGATCAACAATCATAAGTGTTGTATCGATATTTTTAATAGACACTTATTATTTCTAGACTTTTTATCTAACAACTAAATACTTTAAGTCTATGTATTTAGATCTACTAAAATAATTGTTATTCTTAGATAATAAAATAACTACGATATTATCATAAAATATTCTCAGTGGCTTCACAATAGAATCAACAACACCAAGCCCTGAGATAAAATTCCGCAACCACAAAGCATGACTTGAAGTTTCAAAACATGCTATAAATTCAACCTTCATTGTGGATGAGGTAGTAATAGACTACTTTATACTCTTTCACGAAATTACTCTATTTACTAGCATAAAAACAAAACTTGAAGTATACTTTAAGTTATCACGACAACCACCATAATTCAATTTCGAGTATTCAATCACCTCTAATTGTTTTAATATTTTATATGTGAGCACATAATTGTTTATTTCTTGGAGATACCTCATAACATTCTTTGAAGCTTTCTAATATTCAATTCCTAGATCACTTCGATATATTTTCAATATACCAACAACATCGTTGATATCTAGTCTAGTACAAGTTTGAACGTAAATTAAACTTCCCACAGCAGATGCATAAGGAATCTTCTTAATTCATTCCCTTTTTAAGTCATTCATTGGTCACTAGTTTTACTTAATTTGTCACCATTCAAAATGGGTGCAATATTAATTGAACATAACTACATATTAAATCTCACTAAAATTTGGTTAATATATCATTTTTGAGCCATACCTAATAATCATCGAGATTGATCTTTGAAGATTTTTATTCCAATATCAACCATTTGAAAGTTTTTTATAGAGATATTTCTTAGTTTTATATAACAAATCAAAATTATTACTAGTTAGCAAAATATCATTCATATAATATTATAAATATAAACTTACTCCCACTAATTTTCATATATATGCACTTATCAAAAGTATTTTTCTTCAATCCAAAAGATGTAATGGTATCATTAAACTTTATGTACTATTGTCCAGAAGTTTGTTTAAGACCATAAATGAGTACCTTTAATTTGCAAAGTAGGTTTTCTTTTCCTTTAGGTTGTTCCATATAGATATCTTCATCCGAATTCTCATTCAAGAAAGTAGTTTTTACGTCCATTTTATGCAATTCTAAATCAAAATATGCTACAAGTATCATAATGATTCTAAGAGAGTCCTTTTTAGAAATTGAAGAGAAGGTATCTCTATAACCTAGTCTAGCTTTAAATTGTTTGATACTACCTTTAACATCGTGTTTGGTCTTGAAGACCCATTTCGTAATGACCCAGGAAATCCAAAAGAAAATGCATATAAAAATATGAGTGCGGAAGCGAAATAAAAGATTTAGGTTAATATCCCTTACACACTAACTTAAAAGTACTAAACAATATTAAAGAATAAGTCTTCTAAAGGAAATACTAAAAATGAAAGAAGTATAAAGAAAACTATAAGACATCTAACGTCTACTCGCCGTCTTTTTGTGGATCGGGCTCGGAAACCAG